ACGTGTCATGCAAACATAGTGTGCTTGTTTCATATCAATGCACGTTTCCTGCAAAAATAGTGTGGCATTCTTTAATAGTACAATGAAAACAAAATCTATGTTATGATCTTTTTCCTACACTTTGACATGAAGTTAATTGCGGTTACCGGCTTGTCAATATATTGACAAATTCTTTTCGAAGCACATTTTGCTTAAACACGTTTCTTTTTATGTACTTTTCTTTTGCATTGTATAACTTATCATATCTTAGCCAAAGAAATTGTGAGTTTACACCAAATTTTAAGTAATAGAAGTTCATGAATTAATGATATTATTACTATTTTATACTATTTATAATTATAATTAACTTTTTATTGATTTTACTAACATTTGTCAAACAAGATTGTTTCCGGCGCCAAGGTGCCTGAAATTGCAAGCATAACAAGATACACATTTCATCGAACCGCATATTACTCTGTATGAATTAGATTACAACAGAATAGTAAGACTATATGAAAGGAAGGATGTCTTGCCTATTTCCTAAGTTTTCGGTTGTCCGGGTCAGGTCAGGAAGTATTTGATTTAAAGTCAACATCTTAGATAGATGCATTTTTAGATGACTAACAGTTATCTATGTTTACTATAATAGCTGAAATGCATATAATAGCTGAAATACAAAGTTATTCAATTTACTAAATACATAAAGCATTCCACATATTTTGTACAAAATATGTTTAGAATTGACGACAGAGTGTCTTATGAAATAAAAAGAAATGCGTATCTTTGTTTGAATATAATAATTCAATGAAATTTTATTAAAACGAAGTAAGTCTAGCCGATAATTGTCTATATAATGACAACTTAAACTTTTGTTAAATTACACTTTTCCCCATTTTTAACACAGCATTAGAGCATCTTTGGATTAATCATAAGTTAGACATTTCAAGTTAAATTGTTTAAATGTATATTTGGATGAAGTATAAGATTAGTTGCAAGAAACGTTTTTAAGAATAACATATCAAAATAAAAATAAACACCAATCGAGAGAAATGAGGAGCATAACAGACTTGGTTTGATGGAGTCAGTTCATGAGAGGTTCATTTTCCAGATACCTTATATCAGTACACAAAGTTCTTTTAAAGAAGTAATATTTCTCAAAAATGTATTTCGTAATTGCATACAATCCTGAAATATTAATGGTTGTTATTTTTTCCCTTTTCTTTAGTGTTGTTGTTGAGGGTGGTAGTGTTTTTTATACATATTTATTTTAATCTTAGTTCTTCTCTTTTTAAGTAAATTGTTGTCGTCAGTTATTGTCGTTGTTGTGGATGTTACTGCTGTCGTTGTTGTTGGTTGTTTAATTGTACAGTAGAAACAATGCTTAACTTGCAAGTTACTTTAAGTAAATTGGACTCATCCCGCCTTTATTCTACTACTTTTCCACTCGTTCTGTAAACAAGTGCTTCTTATTTCTAATGAATGAAAGACATTTATGGTAAGACCTGATTTTCTATTTCACTAAGTAGAATGTGTTGCTGCCTTTGACATTTTTTTCTCTATCTAAACCATTTTGTACAGGCAAACTCTATTGCCCTGTGTTATTAGGCAATTGTTACAAATATGCAAACGAAAGGACGCACAAACAATCAAACAAAAGAATTTGTAGGAACAAAACGACAAAACAGCACGTACACAACAACATTTTAACGTATCGAAATAAACACAACCAAATAAATGTGTCACAAAATGTAAAACAAACCCCTCAAACAACATATCTTACAAAACTCAAAAACAACATACACATTTTAAGGAAGACTTGATGTCATGGTTATATTTCGACGTTTGTTTGATTTAGATAAACAAGACATTCAAGATGAACGTATATACTAATTATAAGGATAAAACAACAATGATTATGTGATAATGTGACATGTAATCTAACTTATATGTTTGTATTTGCAATTTTAATTCTTCCATTTATTTGTATTACATAACGTAAAAAATATTTGATGTTGTTTTGTTCATCCCCTATTACCATATTTGAATAAATCAGTTCAGTTTCACCCTCAATTGCTCGTCGCCGATGAGGTTCTTTTCTGCGCTGTGGTTTCTTTAGTTTATAAACATGCATCTTAAACATGATTTCAATTTTGATAATAATTATGGTGTCTCAAAAAATATTTTCATTTCTCTCTTCGTTGATTTAGAAATCATGTTGGATAAGTACTTTTAGTAATCGGCCACTCGAAGAGAAATTAGTAGCTACTGGTTACTTATCCCAGTCAGAATGTATGGAAAAATATCTGTGCGTAAATTAGATGTCTTATATAAGTATATTTAATCAATGAAATCTTCTTCTTATTGTAGGGATAGACTGTTTTTTTATGTTAATATCTTATGAAAACCCTATGTCATTATGCCTTACGAAAATGTTGTATTAATATGCAATACAAAATTGTTTTCAACAATATGCAATACAAAATTGTTCTAGTCAATGTGCAATACGAAAATTATTTATATCAATATGCAGTACGAACACACCTTTATCATTATGCTTTACGAAAATACTTTATATCTAAATGCAATATTAAAATTGCCTTTTCAATATGCAATAGAGAAAAGTCTTATCAATATGCATTTAGAGATGCAGAGGAGGAATCCACACCTAAATAAAAATGAGTGAATTTGATGGTACAAGTTACATGAATGAATTTATATCATGCTAACTTTATATATATATATTGAATATGATTAAAATGGTAGTCTCCTCTAATACTTTAAAACACTCACTTTAAAAGGTTAGTCGACAGAATAATGCATTGAAATTGTTTTAGTGTCATAATTAACATAATAGAACAACTCATTTGAATACAAGTTTCTTTCCGGCGTCTGACTGATGTCGCTCTTTCAAACAAACCGGGCGAGAATATGTATGAGCTTTTTATCCGACCATTTTGTGACATGTAACTTTGGAATATTGAATATTTAAAGAACGATGAATATTATAACATAATTTAAAAACTGCATTTACTTTGATTGACAGCCCTTTAAAACAAAGTGGTAATTATGTTCTTTTATTTACTTTGTATTCTTGCTATTAACTATTTACTTTTTCATGACAATTTCATTCAGTTTCAAATGACCTAGGCTGTTCTACAACACCTCAAATAAGGCAAATTAATAAGTAAAAACATGCTTTACATCTTAAGTATTTACGTACACAATGAAGGAAAAAACGACGACATATTTTACTCAATCATTTATTCGGTAGAAATACGTGATGCTGAGTGTTCATAATTCGGTATTTCGTTATTACAAGACATTTTGATAGGTTTGTGAACAGTTCATAAACACAAAAACAAAGGGACACATTTTGGCCCATATCTTCATTTGTTGTTTGTATTAATTGTTTGTTCTGTATACATTTCGTATGCGTTAAAAAGTGGTTTAAGAACATGTCAGATTCTTGTTACTTGCAGAATGTAACGTTTAATATAAAATATGTTTTTCTTAAAGAAGATATAAGTAACTTGACTTCCGCACAATATATTGAATTACTTAAACCGAACGAACAAATTGTCAATAAGTAACAGAAGAGAAAGATGGATCGGGTAATAACATTTTAGGAAACTATTAACTGTACTTCAAAAATAAACTTTTGAGAGAACGGAATAAAGCATTGCTACAACAAAAGGGCCATTTAACTAAACATTTATAATTACAGGTTGATTGTACAGAAATTTTGTAGCTTATTTTAAATATATAAAATAAAGATTTATCATGATAAAGCAACAGAAGCTTTCACTGAATGTAAACCACAGCAGTAATAAACAGTAATAAACCAATCTTAGGTCCGCTTTCTAACTAACCAGCACTGTTGACAAATGAGAAACAATAGTAATGACCTAAATAAGGCGCGAATACTAAATAGATGGCTTGGTGTTTGTAGGGCGACGATTTGACTTCTAAACATCAGAGGCCCTATAAAAGTATAAAATATTCATTCCGCATCTTTACTTTAAAAAGTTAAAAGAAAACGAATTTTTTGTGAAAAAACACTCTGCCCTATTTTTCAGCCTACGTCCTTCTAGAATACTAGGAAATTTTGCGCTTTTCATCATCTTTTTCTTAAATCTTATAACTGATGCAAATGATAAAAACACCGAGATTACGAGTTCAAAAGAGCAAAATTAATACATCCGTTAGGAGTCCATTTAATTCTCAAATAACATTTTACCGAAGATTTACTGAGCCATTGTCTGCGAATGCAAGTCGTCTTGAAATAATCTAAAACGCACCTTTGAACAAGATATAAGAGCAAAATGGGTAAGAAAATGTAATATCGGATTTGTAATTCGTTGAGGAAATACTTAGCGTCAAATATAAACAAAAGTCAAAAGATTATTACAATGGTTCCGTGAATAATGGAGGTGCTAGCAAAAACGCAAATGAATCAATATAGAAAGCTAATACGATAATCCGATGATAAGCTGATTTCTTTAAAATATCACTTTAACAGCACAGTCATTGCACACGTACAAACTCAAAAAAGTTTTAACCTTTTTGTGCCTTGTGTTTTGCGTCATTTAGAGGAGAAGTTGTTCATTTTTGTTCTAAAATGGGGAAAGTAATCTGTAGCTTTTAATTTATAAAAAGAGTGGGGCAGTCTTTTTATACATTAGGGTAGATTTATATTTTACCCTTTACATTTTCAAATAGCATGTGTTGGTCAATCACCATATGACAACCAGTTTATTGAAATATGTAGTCAATTAAAGTCAATTTTACAATGAAAAAGTAAGCATAAATCCATTTTAACAATGATGGATATACATTCATACCTAAAGGTGATAATATGGTATTATTTGGTAACAGTAGTAGAAAAAAGTGAATCAATTTCAGTTAGATTCAACATGTAATAAAATAAGTTAAGAGAAAATTCGTTTATAAATTTATATAAAAAACAAAGAACGTAAATAACTTTCTTCAGATGTTTATTAAAGAAGAAAAGAAAGAATTTTGGTATGTCACAAACACGCACTATCGAAGAAAACCACACGAAAAGCTAAATTGCCAAACACAAGTTTAGCCAATTATACTACTGCCCGAAACGTCAAATCTAAAATGGAAAATGAATAAGAGAAATAAACAAGGAGGGTCGAAAGGAGGTTTACGGTATTACCACCCTAATGGGCACTATCAGGAACTAAAGATTTACATCATAGGTCAGATATATACCTTTAAGTACACCTTTATGCAACATTTAAACAAAGTTTACCGTACCGAAATCAAGTTGTTACCACTTTTTTGAACTCCAGCTAGGATGTTATGGGGCCATTTTTGAGAAATGAGGAACCTTTATATAATCTGCAATAACATTCTACTGAAAAATATTCTGCCATTAATTTTTAGGAGGAAACAAATAGTTCCATTCAGCTAACAATCCACATGAGCAAAATTATGGTTTCTACTGAAAGTTTATGAAATCTGTATAAAAATGTTAACCTACCCCACCCATTTTACCACGTGTCTGACTATTTTCCTACATAGGGAGCCTAATTTAAAAATTCTTTCAGATTTACCAAAATGAGTGCCTGTTTATAAAATTCCCCTCAATTTCTAAAGAAGTATATTGGTTGACCTTGAAAATACATTTACCGTCTTGTTTTGATTTTATTACACTTTGAAAATATCAGGTTCCATATTTATTACTAGATTTAGCATAATTTAGCAAATAATTACCCATAAATCAATAAATAAAAAAATAAAAAATAACCCTTTTTCTTTCTAAGTGGGACATGAAAGATACAGAAATAATGTAAAAAGAAAATAGGAAAGAAATAAAAGGTGACCCTTTTGGGGATTGAACCCACGGCCTTCATTTTCAATGAAGTTAACAGTAGTTCTAGCCTATTTGAATACTGTCCAAAGCGAAGGTAATGCATTAGAATCGTAATTCTTTAAATAAGTTAAACATAATTACTTAATACAAATGTAAATGTATTCATACAAATGAAAATGTATATCGATAAAGTAAAGATATAAAATAGGTGTGACATTGACATTTACGTACACCAAAAGCCAGAGATAACGCATCTGTTATCATACTTTGTAAGTATGCTAGAGGATAAGTTATCAAGGGCGCAGGCAGGTAAGAAGAAGCAGGATATTTTACAGCCCTTGGAAATAACACAGCCTATGGACGGAGAGGTGCAAGGCGCGGCACTGGCGCACAGGGCTACATCGACCGAAGTACTACCACAGAAACAGAATATTCACCAGTTACAAACGTCTTTAATGTCACCGGACCTTTATAACAAAGAACATTTAATGGGTGATAAAACAGACTTGTAAGAAGTTAGCCGGGAGCTCCTCGTTACCTACAAGTCAAACACAATACAATGATTTGGGAATGTGGAAACATTCAAAGAAATTGGGTAGAAAATGTCGGTGAAGCAATTATGCTAGGAGGTCATAGGAGCCAGAGGGGGTACAACAGACTATCATGAATACTTGATTCTGTAACATTCATATTTTACATTATTTGTCAGTCGATTGCTAGTCGATTGCAAAGAAATTTCGACCAGGTATCAATGTTTTGATTCAGCAATCAAGTTACAAATTGTTATAACATATTGTAAGTGATGCGTAATTGTACTCGTATATACAGGCAAGAATCAAAAGCGTATATTGTTTGAATTACAAAGGAAAACAAACAAAAGTAAATGTCAGGCTAAAAAATAGTATCAGACATCCATAAAACTTTAAATGGTTGTGGAAAAAACACACACCCTTCCAAAAATTTAGAGAAATATTACAAGCAGAGATCCAAATATAAGTAGAAACATTCTTTGTTAAATTTATATATTAATTGAAAAATATATAAAAATGTTTTCTTTCAGATGAATTTGTCTACAATAAACGATCTGTAATATGATTTATTAAGGTTTTGCAGGGCGCAAACAGGGAATATTATATTGATTAACACCGGGAATAAAAACCTCATCTGCCGGAGCTTAGACATGCATAGATCTACAGGATAACGCAGTACGAATAAATAGTGTCGTTTAAAAACTGGCTTATTTAAAGAAAAGACTTCCTTAGTTTGACTTTTTTAGACATATTCAGTTTAATTTACCTTCACCTTGATGTCAATAAATTTCAACAAGTAAAATATTTTTACTTAAAACTAGCATCGTATATGTATATATCAATTTCGAAAAAATTAACTTATAGCGATACTAGGGGTAAAATCAAATTAGAAAATAAAATCGATAATTTTTATTGATTTCAAAGTTAAAATGACGCTAAGACAAATTTGCAAGTTTGTTTAGACCACACTAATGCTTGTGCCCAACCAAAAATGCATTTACTCATTGTCAGAGATTTGTTTTTGCAGTACGAAAAGAAAATATTTAGATCTGAGAGAATATCATATTAAACATACGGTCTTTCGCATATAGGCAAGAGAAGTGTGCTGCAAGGTGCGTCATTCCACTTTTCGCCATATCCAGGAGTCATTTCAAATACTGCACAATCTTCATTACTTCCATAATCGTTTGGTTGACCTGGAGCCCAATCTAAAAAATGCAAGTAATAAGATGAATAAAATTAATGAATAAATAAAAAAATAAAAACAAATCTTCAGCCGATTGTCTACACAAAAGAAATACAAGTTTTTTCTTTGTTTATAGATTATTTAAACATTGGTATAATAAATGCAGGGGCGTACATGGACGGGCGGTTAAGGTCATTGACTTCAAACCAATTACTGACAGGGACTTCTTTAATGTGAAGAAGCTATTCAGCTAGCTAACAGAACGCTGGTGGTTCTACCAAGGTGTCCCTTTGTGCCTTCGATAATGCACGGAAAGTCACCTGAGATATTCTTCTAACAGTAAGGATTGAAAGTCGCCATAACACCTATAACGTATCGGTGCGACGTAAAACCAGTTAATGAAAAAAAAAAAAAAAAAAAAAAAAAAAAAAAAAAAACACTGACAATAACACAAATACAAAGAAAAGAAAATACAAAAGTACAAAACTACAAACTTACAAGAAACAATAAAAACAAAGCAGCAAAGACGGTTATTATCCTATACATGTATTACTCAATTTTACTAACACTAATAATTAATTACTCGTAAAGTCAGCTATCTCGTTTGTTCCATACAATTTCCATGTATTTTCTATGTCATCATCTGTAAGACCAATCCACCAGCTTAATCCTGTTAAAAGATTATATTCTGATGTATTACAAAAAAACAAGAGATACAAAAAGGACAAGTCAAATAGTTGCCGCCATTTAATACTCGTGTTGAGTACATTAGAGGGACTATTTTTTGCATTTTATCTATATATAGCAGTTGAACAATTAATCACAAATACACTGTAAAACTGCTTGGAGTTATCTTTACAAATGACAAAAATTCAATAAAAGATATTAAAGTTATATTTATATGTATACTTAAAAGCTAAATGCCTTCAAAAATAAATAAAGAATTCAAAGTTCAGGGAAATAAAAAGAATCAAGATTCACATAATCATTTACATGTTAAGTATGTTCCTTGACTATATAGAATTTATCACCATATTTCCACTGCGTGTAAAACATAGGAACGCCTATTTTCACATATTTTCCTCTTGTCGAGACTGGAAATTCAATTTAATGTAGGTCTTACCCAAACATTTGTGTGCATAATTTCTTATCATTCGCTCACTATATCTCTTTTATCGTTACCTTTCATGTCCCTTAGGTGTTCCCTGATAAATGAATCTTCAGTTGCATCGTTTATATGTACGAGGTATGCCTTGTGCTGATTGCAGTAGCTCTGAAGTATTTTAGAAATCATGGATTATTTTTAAGTTCTAGATTTTTATTTTTTCAAAACAGCAATCTCAAGTGCCGTATGGCAGCCGTAACAAATTGTTCCGTACTTTAGAGCAGTAGTCCAGTGGTAGGACGCGAGCTTAGGAATCGAGAGGAATTTACCTGCGATTGTTTCACTTCACCCAGGTGTAAATGGGTACCTGCGAGGCTGCACTAAGCGGAGTTAAAAGACTCCCCAGGGAGATTGATAGATAGATACCCGATGACCAGGGGTAATAGCTGTAAAGTCGGTGAACGTGCGTAAGCATGAAACTTAGACTATAAAATGCAATTACTTACTTTTTATTTCAGTGTTGTAATATTTTCCTGGTCTTTTGAGACTATTGATTCCAGCACTTTTAAGTGCTGAAAATTAAGAACTGCTCAAACCGGTGCTTGGGGGCATGAGGGATGTTGCACATTTTCATTCTCCCTCATGTACAGTTAATTGAATAAAGCCTGAAATTTTCACTTAATTTTGTCGTGATTAATGTATTTTATCTATCATCCTTTCAGATTTTTATTATTACGAAACATAAATTATCATTGTAATTAGACCATGCACTTTCAAACATTAATTTGAAGATTAAACAATGAAAACACATTATAATTTAAACATTTTCATTAGATAGTATCTAGTTAGACCTTCCTTTATAAATAACAGTATAAGCTAGGGTTACCTCCGCCGAAAAGAACGAAAGTTTCTGGTGGCCAAATAGGTAGCACGAGTTTCCATCAACTGTCCACATGTCCGGACAATCTTTAGCAACTTGAAATAAAGTTATGCATATATCTATTTATAAGTATACAAATATTTTGTTTTTGTTTGTTTGTTTTTAACGACGGACCAACACAATTTAAGTCACACAATTTCATTGTAAAATTCCAACACAGTTACTTATTAAATTAAAATTATACGAAAGAATTGGAGTTTTAATGTTTTTGAAATCATTTTATAAATAAGTCTTTTACAATGAAACATATTTCTTACATTTATAAAAATTAATTCTAGATATGTAATATGATTGATCATTTAGACAGACTTACAACATATATAATTTCCAAAAACAAGATAAACTAATAAATGAGTCTTCATTATCACAGTCATGTTTTAACTTCGCCTTATAGTTATAAAATCCTTATCATTTAGTGTATTCGTTTAACGAACTAAAATTTAGATAATATGCCAGATGTTTTGATAAATTATATAAGACTGTAATTTAGTCACTTTGATAAAACCTATGCCAAACTATAACTTTACACTACTTAAAGGAACTACGCTGATGTCCAGAAAGCTAAAATACAAAAAAAATGAATTACTTACATTGATCTGCTTAAAAGAGAACTATATGCAAAGTAAAATTAAGAAATAAACTCGTATATAAATTGAACGTTGTATTTTTGTGACATTCTGAGACTGAGTTAAGTGAAAAGCGTTGCAAAACTTTTCAGAATAAGAATATTTATTCTAGAAAAACTGAGTGAGCGATTAACCTGAAATTTTGAACAAGTAAATGGCTCGGGCGTACATCAAATTGAACATTAATCTTGAAAATAAGTTCTTGTCTGTCATTTAAAACAACAACAAAAACAAAACTCAACGAAATCCCTTTAAAATAGAAAACACGAGCGCCACTCCTATTACTGAAACAGACAGTTGCAGTATATATCTTTTAACAAAGATTTTCGGTCGATGTAAAACTGGTTAGCTCGCATTATTTCCTAGTTTGCGATACATTTAGAAATATTAGCAATGATTTCATTACAAAAAAATAATTCTTTGTTGCAAAGAAAAAAAAACATTTCGTAATTACAAGCATATTGCTATTGATATCATTGATACATGTTAAAAGTAGGACAACTTCTATTTTACAGTATTTATCTAGGTGTCCTAATTACTTGTTGTTTTGTTTGACTAATGATATGCAATATTGGCAGCAATATTAAAAGAATTACATATGAAATATTGCATATAGGGAAAACAGGATAATAAATATTATGACATCATTAAACTACGTACACACGTTTTAACAGAATTTAATGCAAACAGCTAAGATGAAAAGAAAAAATATATATGTAACGTGTAAACATGCCTTAGTTTCATAAACAAAAACAATTGTGATAGTGTAGATTCAAAATTAAATGTATTGGACATAATAAATAAAAAATATTATTCTCGCCAGAAGAGACCATTCAACTTGTTTAAATTTAGTAATTTAGTAATTAACCTACACTCATTGACATATGTCTTTTCTTGGGTGATCTCATTAAGGTTATATTAATCGTAAAAAGATGTTGACAAATACACTTTTTGCTACTTTCCTTGGCAACCTTTAAGACAGGTGTAATTGGTCTATGTATATTTAAAGGTAATTGATATTATGTTAATGTAACAATAGTGGTTAATTGTTAGAACTTCATCCCATGATTGACTTTAAATAAGTTGAATAATTTTGTAAAAGAAATTTTGCGGAAATATTCAGACTTCTGCAATATAAGGAAACTAATCTAACTTGTAAAATAGCTTTATGAAGTGTTTACTAGTCTCCCTTATCAGTGGAAAGTATCAATAAAAATGGTTCAAACGAAAGAATGATAACAAAAGATTTTTAAATGATTTCGACTTGTAGGGTTATTCTCCCTTTAGTTTTTCTTTCACAACCGATTTCACACATATATCAATCGAAATATTCGTCCGCAAGCATAGTGTTTATTGTAAAGCTTTAGGTAGAAACTTTGTGACATTTCATAATAATAATATTTGAATTCGTTTATGTTTGATAAAAACATAATTATTAATTATCTTATTATACTAAAATATCTCGTGTTAATCTACTCATTTTGAGTTATGATATCTGAAATATTATTTTAAAGTCATTTTCTTTTTATAAGCATCTTTGACAGATATTTTATGATTATATATTATATAACACTGTATAAAATGTTATCCTCATTTACCCTATAGAATATTTCTGAAATAAAACTCTATGGTTTCCGAAATAAATTAGTTATATCAAAGAAGAAGTCCCAATTTAACCATTCTGTCACAAATGTCAAATAGGGGTCATCTCATTTCACTTTTCAAGTTTGCTATCTAAATATATATCCCAAATATCTTATCTTCTTAACTTTACTGTAATTGTCTGCTATATTGTATCAATGACGTCATAAAACAAGAGGAAAATGTCGACTGTGCTGTTTTTATTAATTCTAGGGTCGACAATTATAAGCTTACTCGAAGGTATGAACAATATTGGATATTCTATTTACGTCCTTTTCTCGAGTTAATACAATTGTATCCACAGTTTTTGAAAGCATGTTATTAATTCTGTTTGATTTTTTACTCTGTGTAGGAATTCACTTTTTACAGTCATTTTTATTTACTTAAGTAAAGATCTAAAATATAAAGAACTGCTTTTTTAAAACCTTAGCTAACTAATACATTATATCGATGAAAATCCTGAGTAGGCATTTCAGCTATAAATTTAAGATCCTATAACACTATTTTCTTATGGGTTGAAATCATAAATACGATATTAAAATAAGGATTAATCAATATACTAGTAGGGTCCAAAAAACATTATTTATACAGATATTACCGAATTTAACATTTCATGTAAACAAAGGGAAGCAATTAGATTTTTTAAAAAGTTTGAGTCAAATTTTCAAATAAGAAATGAATGTATATAGTTCAATGAATGCATATAATATGCACAAATATTTGCAGTACATATTTTACATATTCTTTGATGTTTTAAAATTGTTTTTTAGCATTATTATATACACATATAGTATGTCACTTAACAGTGGTTACCCACTTTAATCACAACATACCGTATCTTTAACAAAACGTTAAATAAAAAATATAATATAACATAATAAATATAAAATAAAAATATTCATGTTTTGATTTGCGCGTTTGCGATCACTTTGTTGCAGTTAAAATTGTAATGTGTAGAAAATAACGTAATACAATTTTTGTTCCGATTTTACATAACTTAAAAGTCAATTCACAATGTGTCATATGTCGTCTTTATGTACAATATAATTCTTAAAAATGATTATACTTCCAATAATGTTGTCTTCTTTGGTTTAAAATAACAATAACTGTTTGTTGGTCACATTTATCACATTTATATATATTTATATCATATTTATATCATATTTATATTATATTTATATCATATTTATATTTGTGCTGCAAGCATCTTCCTGCTGCCACGATGGCTGGGTAATGTACAAAGATTCTTGCTATCTTTTTGCTGACGAACAAAAATTAGACTGGAATGAAGCTGTGGTAAGAACAGTTGATTGTACAAATATGTCTTGTATTAACTTTTTTAGCACCAATATTTTTTACAATAATTTGATATAAGGATTAACTCTTTAATATTCAAATGTCATTTATTTCCCAAAGGGTTGATACTATACAAAGAACATGATGCTAAGTGATCAAGCAAACAAGAAGAGAATCATAATAATTCATTCATTCATTCATTCATTCATTCATTCATTCATTCATTCATTCATTCATTCATTCATTCATTCATTCATTCAAATGATTAAATTTTAAAGATGTCAGCCGAACAAGAAGTCAGTAATACTATAGGTTGGTATTCACAGTGAATTCCGATCTGCCGTGTTGTGTTGGTTAGATATTTATTACACTAATAGCGTTTTGTTATGAATAATAAATTATTAACCAATATGAACAACTTCAGACTTTCTGTAGGCAGAGAAATAGCGACCTTGTGTCCATCGAGACGGAGCAAGAAAACCTTTTTGTTAAATAATTTGCCAGCAAGCTATTCAAAATAGGTACTTATCTGTTAATGTCGTTTTTATTTATAACATGTATAAATTGTTTCGTTTATTTCGTCATCCGCTGTTTATTAACAATATCCTTGCACATATTAGAAGTGGGAATCTTGCCCGTTCATGAAAACACTCATTGATAAAAATATATAATTTTCATCAAAAAGATAGTTTTATGCTGGTGAAAAAGCCAACGCAATAAAAACTAGCAAGAAACAAAGCAATGGATTTAAAATAATTTATTGTTGTTATCATTCGGCGCCAAAGGACGCATTTGCTTACTTTGACATGGAACAATTTTAAAAAAGCTCCGTTTGCTGTTCCACTTATAGTGGAGCGGGAAATAAGGTCTCTCCTGTCAAAATAGTGCAAATTGTGATACAAGCATGAAACTTTCAGGAAATCATCTTTAGACTATAGAGATTCCAAAAGTGAAGTGGGCCCAAAAATATCTCTGCTCATACAAGATGGCCGCCATTTTCAAAATGGCCGCCATATAAATTTGACATACATATTAGCTCATTCAGTGAAATTTTTGTACAGACCTGAAACTTACACCAAAGCATGTATAAAGTTTCTCCTTTACAAAAATTCAAATCGTGAACAAAATCAGCGTTCATACCTCTTCAGAATTCAAGATGGCGTCCAATATGGCCGCCGATTTTATGCAAAACTGATATATCTCTTTTGTCATATAATTTGTATCACAAATTATGCATATTTCGATAAAAAGTGTATAAACATATCAAAAATTATCAAATTTTATGTAAACCACAATGTAAGTCAAGCTTTCTAAGTTATTCATCCAAAAAGTATCGTTAAAAATATTAAAGAAAAAGTGCCAATATTTGCATATTTCTCTAACATGGTTTTCTAATAGGTCTTTGTACAAAACTTAAAAGTTACTTAGTTTCTAATAGTGTATTTGATATTTAATTAACACTATGTGTTTATTGTAAAGATATAATCTGTAGGTTTTATATTTTGTCAAAGTGGGTGGGGTAAATATATCTGATAATTGAAAAACAAATACAACGAAGTTTGTAAGTTAATTTTATTTCTTTGCTTTTTGTTAAACTTTCTATGAATTCTGAGGAAAGTATTTACTGTTAAAAATATTTTTTTTTTTTTAGGAAGAATTATTGTCTTCATTCAGGTCTAGAGCTAAAATGCATATACATTCATGTGTATACAGTCAGTTGTAAAATTTGTTTGTAAGATATGACTTGTTTCAATATTTTTAATATTATCAGTTAATTCTGACGACAGTAGACTGAATATACATTTACAAAACATGCGTTAAATATTGTCTTAATTACGAATACAATTACATCCTTAACA